CATTTCAGCCAGTTGCTGAAGTTCTGGAAAGGATTATTATTATTATTATTATTATTATTATTATTATTATTATAACATTTCTATGCCGCCCCTTGCCGAAACCTCGGGGCGGCTTACAACATGATAAAATACATTGAAATACAATAGTACATAATAAATTACCATTAAATACAAAAATCCAAAAAATACATTGACTTACAAATATAAAATTAAAATTATCAGTATAAAATAAAAATATAGGAGGAGAAAGAGAAGGAAGAAGAAGTTGCCCTGGCCAGATCATATGTTTTAACAATTGAAATGATGTTTAAATAAAAAGGTCTTTACCTGGCGCCGAAAAACCCGTAACGATGGTGCCAGGCGGACCTCTTTGGGGAGTGAATTCCATAGGTTGGATTATTTTATATTCCATAAAATATTGGTGGTTTATAGTATTTAAGGCAGGCAGGCATGCTAACTTGCAAGATTGCTGCTTTTTTTGTTGCTACCACAGCACGTTTGGCAGCAGTTTCGGAGGGATGGAGTACAAGCCTTAGTGAGTTCCTGGGGCACTGTGACCCCAGTCCCTGGAAGTTGCTCACCCATTTCAGGACACCTGGCAGAGATTTAAATACATAACAGCAGCCATACTGAATCAACTCAAAGGTCCAATCTAGTCTAGCTTCCTGTTCCCATTCAGATGCCTATGGGAATCTCTAAAGTAAGACTCCAGTGCCATTGCACCCTGCAGCCTGTGTTCACCAAACACTGGTATTAAGAGACTCAGATCCCAAAGAGAGTTTATAATAATTGGGATTAGAAGGCATTGATTGCATGATTGTCTCTGGAGTTATCTAATTCTTTTTTCAAGCTGGTAGCAAATTCCATAGTCTAATATTGTTTTGTGTCAAGTACTTCCTTTTCTTTGTCATATTCTTCATTATTCTGTTTTATTGGATGACCCCTGATTCTTGTATTCTGAGAAGATTTTCACTTTCTCCACATTATGCATATATTAATACACTTCATTTTATCCTTTGCTTATCAGTTTTTAAGCTAAAGAACTCCTAAAGTTATAGGCTTCCTTTTTTTATAGAACCCTAACCCGCCCACTTCTTCAGTTGATTCTTTCTTACTGCACACCTTGCTGTATCGCCTGATTGGTGTGAACTGTGTCACTCACCTCTCATCCTTTGTTTCCTTCTGTGTCCTGCTCTTCCTCTTTTCTGCTAACTCTCTCTACTTTCTTTAAAAAATAACTCCACACTCCCCTATCGTTTTTGCCCTCTTTCTGCTGCACACTTGCTGTTCCCCACAGGTGCCCTCATAGCCTGAGGGACGCCTCTCCTCTGTTCTTCTCTGCCTTTCTTGCTCTGCTCTTCCCTCCTTGAGGGAAAATTGGTGGCAGCCCCTTGTGTGCTGCATGCCTCCCAGCTGCCAACAGCCACTCCCTATGTCTCCTCTGCCTTGGTGAGGGGCATGTAGTGGAGACTTGCTTGCACTCTCAGGTGTTCAAAAGACAAGATGTGTTGGCAGCGGACCCTCCACATGGCCAATGAAAAACCAGAGGCTAAGATGCCCTTTGTGAGGCCCTTTGTGTGGCCAGGAGTTTTCAGTGATAATCCTTTTTAAAATCAACACTGCCAAATATAAAAAATAAAAAAGTTTACTTAGAAGCAACAAGGGAATGTTACAATTCTGCACAGAATTGTGTAGTGGTTAAGAGCATGGGACTGGGACTCAGAGGATCTGGGTTCGAGTCCCCGCTCGGCCATGGAGCCATCTGGGTGACTTTGGGCCAGTCACAGTCTCTCAGCCCAACCTACCTCACAGGGTTGTTGTTGTGGGGATAAGATGGAGGAGGAGAGATAATGTAAGCTGCCTTGAGCCCTTTGTAGGAAAAAGGCAGGATATAAATTAAAAAATAATAAAAATAATAATAATAAAAATCAAAAAGATGATATAACTTAGCTGGTTAGATACTACCTACTTGAGTAGAGTCTTAGTCTCCAGAGCATATGTGGAATTGATTGTAGAGAGGATCCTGGCCTCCTGTTAGATGGAATAAAGAAGGCTTTAATGGAGAGAACAAATTCTGAATTTTACAAGAATGGAAGTTCTGTAAACGTCCCCAGTTCTGCTCCTCTGGTTTACACTCTCAGCTCATTGCAGAAATGGTGACACTTAACAATAGACTACCTTGCAGGTTGTTTTCTAGCTCAGTCATTCTGCATTCACGTAGTAACACCATGTGTCTGTTCTGTTATCACATATCCTTGGATTGTAACAGTCATTGTCTTGCTGATGTTAGGAGGAGGCTGTGGTGCCCGGAGCACATCTTACTAGAACATCCTGTAACTTCTACGTTTCAATTATCTTTTATCTGGCTTGCCAGTGATTTCTCTTCAATTATCTTTAACTTGCCTTCAATTAATCATGATATTTGCATATTCCATGCACTGTTTTAAACCAGCAAGTTAACTATTTCTAACTAAACACAAATTGAAGGCCCCAGGCTTAACAGTTCCTTGACTATTACTGTCAGTAGTTGCACAATGACCTCTGTTTCTTTTGTCAGTGTTCTAATCAGCACATCAGAAAATTACTTTGTGGCTGGAGCCACCTTCTTTCTAATACCTGTAACCTTACATCTCAAAACCCAACTGAGTTTGAACCAGTTACTTTATAAAACAGTAAATGTTTTTGGATTTACTTGAGGAACAAGATGAGAAAAGCCTCTTTGTGTCTCCTGGTATTATGCCAACTTTCCAGGGATCACTGATGAGCAATATCATACATTCTGTGACCCTACCAAAACCAACAGTCAAAGAGTTAAACATTTATGAATTTTTAATTCCCCTGAGATAGATCGGGAACAAGGAAGTTTTGACATGTCCTCTTATACATCAATTAGTTATTAGAAACTTGAGAAAAAAATCTGGAGTAAAAAAGACACTTTAGAAAATGGAGGGAAGTAAACTTATCATGAAGTAATTCAAAATACGAAACTCATTTGAAGTGTATGGATAAAAAACTTAAACTTTCAAAAGCTTGGAGAAAGTAATGATGGTATTAACTTGAATTAGTCACAGTTTACAAAATACCTAATAGTTTCTATGTGCTGTACAAATATAATTCAAAAAAGGGATAGGGAGGAAGGCAAGTTTTGGACCACCAGCTCCTTCTCTGCTCAATAGAGGCTAGTCTCTTGCTCTGATGTTCTTCTTAGCAGGTGCAGCTTCCCAGTGACCCTCAATCTGCCCTTGAATGGATGAGGCCAGAATGTGAGCCTCTTGATTTCAAGTTTCAAGGCCATGGAATAGGAACATAATGAAATTTTGGATTAACTGGTATCTGCTTTGAAATCAGGACGCATGGTACAAATATAAACAGATGGTTTTCATTGTAAACCATCTGTTGCAAACATTGGGATCCCCTAAGGACCTCTGGAGAGATGTAAACATTGGGATCCCCTAAGGATTTGCCAGAATGGCTGAAGTTAGATGGCCAAGATTGTGGATGTTGATTTATTCAGTTTAATAACATCCTAGACACTGAATAACTTCAAAATGATCTCTCCAAACAGGGTCAAGTTCAGTTGAGGTACAACTCGGTAGCAGAATAATGCCTATTAGGATAAAAGTACTAACTTTGTATGAAAATTGGTAAATCTAAATTTGCCATAAACCACCCAAGGAGTATGTGGGGGGTCCTAGTTTACAACAAAGGTGAGCAGAAACTAGATTTCTGAATATTTGGACCAGTTTCCAGTATTCTTGACCATTGGTCATTGTGATGAGACTGATGGTTTGAAGTCCCAAACATTTGGAGATCTGCCCATCATTGTTCTAACATTGAATGTATCTGTTCAGTGTACTCAATGTGTATAGTTTTTTAAGGGTGCATCCTGTGGTTAAGAATATTTCAGTAAGGACATGAAAGTAAGAGTGTCTATGAGTATATTGATCAAACCTAATGATCAAGGCTGCAATTCTAAGCTACTACTACTATGTAGTAACTTGAACTGAATACAGTGGGACTTATGGCTAAACATGCATACCATTGCAGTGTTAAAATAAAATGTACAGATGTGCCTGCAATCAACTCAGATTTTTGTTTAATTTACTGCGAGAAAATAAAGAAAATAACACAATGATCAGATGGCAGAATGGTGGCTGGTGTAGTATGTTTTATCTTAAAGACAAGGTTAAGTTGTGAATTCATAGCTATACTGGGGAAAGCAGGTGATGTAGTCGCTTAAGACTAGAACTTGGTGTTACCTGAGAAAGATCAGAAAGGGGCAGAACTGCACACGCGGAAACACTCTTTAGAAGATGGAGAAGACATATGCCTAAGATTTTGCACAATTGCTTGGACCAATGGAACAAGTTCCAAGGTAGCTTCTCATAATTAGCTGACATTGGGTTAAATTTTGTGCTAAAAAGGAAACGTACACAATATCTGATTATAGAATTCATTGCCAAAAATTGTGATGATAGCCATTAACTGGGTCACTTTAAAAGAGCTAAACAAATTTGTGGAAGATAAGTAACAATTGCTGTTATAAATCGCTGTCACAACAGTTAAGAATGGAACACCCATGCTCTGTCGGTGTTCCTTCAGTGGGGATCAAACAGAGTGGATTAAAGGCTTCTCAGACTCGCTGAGTTGTTCACTGCTGGAGACAGGATGGTGTATCAGAACTTTATGGACCTTTTGGTCTGATACAACAAAATGCATTTCTTATGCTGAATACATTTTTTGCAAGCCACGTATTGTTGAAATTGGGGCCACCTTGATATGATACAGCTTTATGTATATCCTACAATGAAAGAATTGCAAATGGAATCTAATCTTCTGATTTACCTGCAGTTTATTGTGGAATTTATCTCTGTCCATCAAGGAAATATCCATCCTGGTTGGGAGGGAAACATTCGTCTACATTAAGAGTATGTACTGTATGTGGGAACCGTGAAACACTAAGAAGGAATTGAAGTTCTCTTTTATGCTCATTATTTCAGGTTCCCCTGGAAATGAAGTAAATAAGTCTGTCAGCAATCTAGAAAACAAAATAGGAAGCCTAACGAAAAATGAGGTATACAGCCTGGTTGCTGAAGAACATGACGCCAGAAAAAGGCTGACAGAAGGGCACATGAAAAAGGGAAATGATGACTCTGAGAGTGACTTTGAATCAGATCCTCCATCTCCTAAGAGCAGTGAGGAAGAGGATGAGCAAGAAGATGAAGAGGTTTTGCAGGCTGAGCATGGAGATTTCATGGATGACAACGATACTGAGCCTGAGAACTTTGGTCAGCACCCTCTTCTGATGGATTCTGAGGAAGATGCAGAAGATGATGATAAGCAAAGTTCTGAATCTGATTCCGGTCATGGGAGGCCTGTAGAAGAGATTATTTGCAGTAGATACAGAGAAGGGACTGGCAATTTTGAAGTCAAGGAGCCTACTGTACCATGCTCTGTGATGCCTGACTTACCAGGTACAATGACCAAGGAAAGCCCAAAACAAGAATTTGATATCTTTGGAGCAGTTCCTTTCTTTGCTCTTCAGCCTCAAGAGCCTAAGCAAAAAGACAGCCAGGACCTCTCTTCCCAGGCTTATTTTCCAGGCCTGGAGCAAGATCAGGATGACTTCGATGTTTTTACCAAAGCTCCATTCAGCAGAAAAATATCTCAGCAGGATGATTTAATTTCAGGTTCTGAAACCCAACCTTCTCCTTTATCTCCCAAAAATGTGGATGTTTTTGGCTGTATCCCATTCCACCCTACTAATGTTTCAAATAAAAATGGGAGCAAAGAGGACCTCTTTGGGCTGATCCCATTTGAGGAGATAGCTGGAAGCCAGCAGCAGCAAAAAGTGAAGCAGCAGCAGCGGAACCTACAGAAGCTATCTTCCCGCCAGAGACGTATGAAACAGGAAGTACCTAAGAGCAATGGGAAGCGCCATCATGGCACTCCTACTAGCGTCAAGAAGACGTTGAAGCCCAGTTACCGCACACCAGAGCGAGCCCGTAGACACAAAAAGCCTGGTCGTCGGGACTCTCAGAGCAGCAATGAGTTTCTTACAATCTCTGATTCCAAGGAAAACATAAGTATTACCCTGTCAGATAGCAAGGACAGAGTCAATCCTCTCCAAGCAGATGATAGTCTTCTGGATCCCTTTGGAGCCAAGCCGTTCCACCCCACAGAATTGGTGCGTCTTCCACAGCATCAAGGACTGGCTGACAATCGTGGGGACCATAATACAGTAGTGCCTGGCAGGCCTAGACAGAGTTCACTACTTGGCAGCATTCATTCTGGTGATGGGGTAAAATTAACAGATGATTTTGGGGCAGTTCCTTTCACAGAAATTGTTGTTGTGCCAAGTGTGACATCTCAACAAATCCAACAGCAACAGGCAGTAGAGTTAGATCCATTTGGAGCTGCCCCATTTCCTTCCAAACAGTAGATTCTTCCAGGAGTAGCCCTGCATTATTTCACTTGGATTTTAAGACCATCCAATGGTCGAATTGAGAAGAGACTGATTTATTTTTTACATACAACATATTCATTCTTAATTCTGACTAGATCCTAGGATTTTAAAATCTGCCATGTTAGATATACAAATTTCAGATGGTGAGGAGGTGAATATGTTTCATTAAGAGAAGAAAAGAGAAATCAGAGGTTAATATTGTAGGTTCTGCCTATGAATATATTGCACACAACCATTGTGCCCTTTTTGTAGTGTAGTTACACTTCAGTCAAGAGAAAGAAAGGTCTGACTTATGGTGTACTATGACTGGCCGGATGGAACAGGATCTATCAACCCAGAAATGAGAAAATGCCGAAGTCAGCCAAGTTGATTTAGACTTTCTTGTTCTGAACATCAGAGTTTGCTGGCTTGACACTGATGCCTAGAAATATACAAAGAGACACAGTCCTTTCTGCCTGTGTATGCCAGAACACTGCTTTTTCCCAGTAAGTGCCATTAACGTAAAACAGGGATAGTTGTAACTCTTGAGATCTCAAGAACTTAGTGGAATACAATATTAGAGCAAGCTGGAAATGGAAGGAGAAAATCACAGTAGACGGTTGGATTCTGCAGCGTTTTGAAGACTACACAGTTCATTTGGGAAAACAGCCTGGTTATTTGCATGTAGTGCTAGACAAGACGGAAAGCAAAAGCCAGAAAATTTGTAGCAATTTCAGGCTTGTACAGATAGTCAGTAGGAATTTCACCCAAAGTTGGTTCATTTTATCAGGGGTTTTTATTCCAGATAAACTGTGTATACCCTAAAATGTTTTTCATTCCTTTCTAAAATTGCTCACCTAATATTTTGATTGTCTCAAAAGGTTGTACTTTTTCTAAGAGTTCAAGCAAAGTACGCTGAGCGCTAAAGAAACCTGTAACTTGAATTCAGGCAGTTTCCAGCAAAGGAGGTATAAAACTGAAAGGTTTACAAATATTGATAGTGATTTGAGTCTGTCAGCAAACTGCATAATAAACCACCAATGCCTTACAGCCAGGACCAGCACGTCCTGCTATGAATTTACCTCTGAGCCAATTGGTGCCGTTGAGACACTGCTTAAAAATTTCCAGAACTTAGAAGGTGAGTAGATGATACATTTTGAACTTTCCACTTGGGTGAAAGTAATGTCCTTGCTTGTTTTGTGCCCATTTTAGATCCAAAAGGCAGCCTGAAATACGGTGGGAGCTTTAGCTGAAAGTCTTCCAAGTACTTAGTTCGTTAGACTAAAGTTAGGGCCAACTTGACTTTCTTTGAAATGGGTGGGTGTGAAAACACCACAGTGAACTACTGCATTTAAATGGTAGCCTATGGCCAGGATCTAAAATCACTGCAATGGTTGTGTGTGTGTGCGTGCGTGCGTGCGTGTTGGACAAATGCTTGGAAAGCAACTTAGTTTGTGGCATGGGGTCATCAAAAATCCTATGGAGTGCATGTAAACCTGACATTGCTTGATCTTTGACCATGAATACTTATTCACATCTTTGTGAATCTGATCTGAAACTCTTCTGTGCATCTAAACGAACTCTGGATGTGTTTGTTATTGATTGAATATGAAGTCGTACAAACATGAAATCTAATCTGGAGGAGGTTAAATACTTCCTGGTGAACGAATTTCCCAAACAGGTGCCCAGTGGTGGTTTCTGCACTCTAGCTGCACTATTTGTAATTTGCAACTTGATGCTTATAACAAGAATGAATTTTGAAAGTGGCAAAGGATCAAAATTGCTTAGGAAAACATACCTTTCAAAGTAATTTTTATAAAAATGGTTCCTTTTATGTAATGTTTAGGGGCAATCTTTTAAAGATATGACTTGAAGCTTTCTCTAGTTGTCTGTTTCTAGCCCATCTCCCTTTCTGTCATACCAAGCACAAATCCCAGGTCAGTTGGATGTTTTTCTCGCGAGACTAAATATTTCTGCAAAGCACACATGGCCAAATGTATGAGCTGTGAATGTACCTCTGCACGCCCACTCCTTTTTTTCTTGTGCCAAAACCTCTTAGAATGCAATACAGATTTTGTTGTTAAAACTTTTGATTTAAAACTGGAACCAGAGAGCTCTGTTTGGAGGTGGCTTTAAGCGTAACAAGATTGCCTACCTAAAGTAGGCTGTGGCTTCCCAGCACAACAAACATGGAGAACTACAACTACGTGTATATATCCATGTGACTAATTCATATATAGAAGGGCTTTCCATGTAGGAAGCATATCATAATTGACATGGCTGTAGCAGGCTGGAATTCCAGTGTTGACATAAGGCTTATTACAGGCAGCTGAGCCAATGCAGTAGTGTCTCTGTGTGTTTCTAAAGAAGTAGGTGCTTTCAAGGGGCATAGAATCCCTCCCCTCATGCCCAAAGTAGTCAAACTAAGGTCTGATTAAAATGAGTGGGAATTAATTTCACAGCTAACTTGTCCAATTGATTGTAACTAAATTTCTCTGGCTTGGGGATGAAAGCTGGAATCTTATATTTCAAGCTGTCTGAAAATTGTTTCCTCTGCACCACTGCTTGCTAGATGCTTTTTCAGAAAATAGTTAGAAAAATCCAGTGCTGTGAAAAATGAGCAAGAAAATAATAATCCAGTCTAGAATGATGCAGTTACTGTGTTGCGTTAAATAAATGATTGCGTTGGCAGAAGGGGTTTCCTTATATCTATGTCTTGTAGTCTATCATAGACAATTCTGTTCCATACATTTTATATGGACATATTAAATGCCTTTGACCAGGGTGGGCGGAGGGGGGTATGAAACTGATCCTGCGATAAATCAGTGATAGGGAGGGAGGACGTGGCACATGTGCATGATTCTTATTTATGGATTTTTCCAAATATTTCACTCAGCAGTTTGTTGGGTTAGAAAATGTTCAAGGTTTTCTCAGTTATCACTACAGGTGCTTTGTCACATTTTTCAGCAGTGTCTCCTGGAGGAAATCAGCAATACACAATCTGTGCAGTTAGATTGGTAGTATGGATGAAGGTGTATGGAGGTTTTGCAGGATTGAGGCCTAGACATACATTCTGTAGCATAACTTTAAGTCCAAAGTACACAGAAATGGCCCTTTGCATTATTGTCAACCTTCTTCACTTTTAAATAGGGTCTTTAATACCCCCTGTGCTTGATATATTCTTATGGACTAGACAGACTTTTTTTTTGCATAAGACTTTATTTTCCTAGGTTACTGTAAATAAGAATGGTATATTTGTCCTTTGTGGTTGCTGGGGTATACTGGCAGACAGCACAAAGTTGTATCTCTATGTTGCCTATTTTGCTTTTGCCAAGAGCTGCAGAATTAATAATTTGAATTTCCCTTCAGTTCTGGATGTCATAAAAAGTGTAATCAGTATCTTTTGGGGGAGATACTTTGCTTGTGTTATATGTGAATGTCTGCATATATCTGGAATCAAATGTGTCACCTTTCCTGAAATAGTAAGAAGGTTGGAAGGTGTTGATTTATACCAATGATTGCCAGGTGAATTTTTTTGTCCCCCCCCCCCCCCGAGCATTGCCTCCCCACCCCAGCATTGCCTCTCTCAGTGGTTTGATCTTTCCATGATAGCAGAAAGCTCAATGCAACTTTTAAAAGCAGCTGTGTAGTTAATTTTGAGGACAGAATCACTTGCTGATTTTGGTATTATCATCACCCAAAGGTACTTTTATTGTACCAATTAGCATTGCAGATGCTTAATTTCCAGTGTGTTCCCAAAGGCTAAAAAAACCATGCGCTTCTTTAACTTCTCATGTTTTTTCTTCTGGTAAAATCACCTCATGGTGACTGCTCAGTCAACCAGATCTCTGTGACTGTTTTCTGATGGTACTGTTGTTTAACCAGATAAACTTAGTGAATCTACCACCTGCTATCCAAGTATCAATTTAGGGATACTTCTTTTTACCCTATACAAAGAGCCTTTATGTGCTTAATTCTGCACATGTTAAATTCAGTGGCAAGCACCCCATAATGTCAAGGGTCAGGATCAGTGCCCAGGTTGTGGGGAAGCTGTCCCATAAATCCTTTTCTCCCAAGAATAAGAAAAACCTACTGTGAGAATAAATGGATATAGCTACTACTGTGAGAATAGCATCTAGAGTTTATCTGAAGATTTTTATATGATAGGGTGTATTTTTATATAGAGAGACTTATATAAAATATACACACGCACACATCACATATCTCTTGGAGTTTGTGATCTAAAACATAACATTGCAGTCACAATCATTTTCATGGCATTCAAAAAACAAGTATAGCCAAAAGCTGCTAAAGTGTAACAGGGAAATGCAAAACAATGGCTGCCCAGTTATTCTCGTAGAGTGCTTCTTTGAAAAGAAGAAATATACTAATAGTGTCTATTGCCACGTTTGGTTTCTGTGACTAGGATATCACTCAAGTAAAACAGCATAATGCTATATTTTAATTGCTGGCAAACAGCTTTAAGTGCACTTTTTCAAATTACACTTCCATTTCTTGTTAGACTTGAAATTTCTAAAGCTTTTTTTTTGTGTGTACCACTAATACAGAACTTTCACTTTTGTGTGAAATTGATGTACCTGAAAAAACAACTTGCAAGTTGTTACTAAATAAATAAACCAGAGACCTTGATTCTGTAGACCTGTTGCCTAATTGTGTGATTTTGTGTTGTAGGTTACCCTTGCCATTCAAGCAATGGCTGCATTGTGTGTGTGTGCACTGTTACAAACTTCTCTTGTGTTTACCGCTCCTCTAAGGTTCTCTTGCTTCAGTCAACATGCACCATTCGGAGAACCCCTTCAAATGTTGTGCATTACTTCTCTACAGATAAACAGTCTTAAGTCCATGAGGAAAAACTATCGAAGAGCATGCTGACGCCCTTAGCCTACTGGAGTCACTAGTTACACTGCTTCTGATGTTACTCTGTATAGACAAAATATGCTGAGTGAGAAAAGGAAGATGCCACCACCAATTCTTCATGTCATGGTGTTTCAGCTTGTTCCCAATGCTTAGCTAGGTCAGGCTTTCCCAGCATAATATCCTTCAGATGTGTTGGAATATAGCTCCCATCATCCCCAGTTAGCATGTTGATTGGGTAGAAATAATGGATGTTGTATTCAACACATATCTGAGTTCTTTTTAAAAAGGCAGGATATAAATCTAATCAATCAGGAGGGCACTGCGTTGTGGTTATGACTTTAACCCTTCCTTCCTCATCACAGCTTGCCAGTTATTTCATTCTTGAGGCATATGCTCTGCATGGAATGTCAGTAAACTTTTGATTGCTCAGGTTTTTCTGGCACCCTGGATGCCTTCTCTTGACTTCACCTCAATAGCATGCCTATTATATTTGCAGGTCAGATATGCCATAAAGTAAGTATCTTGAAAGGATCCCAGTTGTTTGTGGAATACTTAACAGCATTCTTGTGTTCCCTGCCTGTAATCACTGTTACACACACACACACACACACACACACCCACACACACACACACCCACACACACACAGACCTCATACTCCAGAGAAGAACATACACAGGGGACTAAGTTTAGACACCACCTGAGAATCCATGTAAGAATTTCACAATACAAAAATCTTTATTAATTGCATTTCTATACTGCCTAAAGGCAGAAAGATCTCTGGATGGTTCATTTGAGCACAAAAGCTATTCTATCTCACTTGTTGGTTCCGCTACCCCATCTTGTCTTGATTAGTAGCATTCCAATATCTCAGGGGACCTTGGTCACCTGCTTAAGATTCTCTTAGCTAGACTAAACCATAGCCTTCCATGTGGTCTCCATCATAGGTTGGGCAATGATAACCTGGTAGAATCTTCCCTCCTGTGGATCTCAGAGCTACAATCTTTTTTACACATTAGAGCTAGTCCCAGTAGCACTCTTGTGCCTCTGAATTTTCTCCTGTGTCTGAACAAATATATTAAATCAGGTCCATTTGTCACAAACTTTTATTTACATAGGTAATATTAATAACATACTGTGCAACCTGATTAAATTGCACTTAAGTGACTTTCCTTTGTACATGTAGGCTGAAAATGGGCAGAGGAAATTTTTAAAAAATTGCACACAGAAGCACTAACTAGTGATTCATCTAAAGTTTAGATTCCATGCTTGCAGGAAGGTTTGTAGTTAAGTCAGGCTCCTACAGCAGGTATTAGTATGCATTTGCTTGGCTGATGGGCAACATTACTAGGGAAAGTTTACAGTTTTGAGGCAAAAAATCTATAATACTGTTTTTACCATTTTCATTCTGCTTCTGAAGAACTCTTATTAAGAGCAGCTCATCTATACATTCACAATTTTAAAATAAATATTAAAACAGACTACATGCATAAGCAGGTATTTACAAAAGATTTTGATGTATAGCCATCACTGGCATTCAATCAACCTTAACATTTAACAGAAAATGCGTCTTCTGCTTGTATCACTAAACATTTAAATCCTATCAGAATCCTTAAGAAATGACAATGTCAAAATAAAAACAAGTGTTTAAGTCTAAAAAGAATCCAAGTAATTCTACAAGCTGTAAACAAAAACTTGCTTTTTTTTCTCTTTCAAAAGCACATTAATTTTGCTTTTAGAACCAAGGAACAGGTCACGATTCTCTATTTTACGTTCAGTTGAATGGTGATCTTTAACAACCCTCTGACTAAAGGGAAACGGTCTTTACTTCAAGACCTGTGTCTATATAGGCAGATGTTAAAGATGCTTGAGGGAAGAATGCAGCCAGCCTTTACTATTGGTAGCATTAATTTTCTGCTCAAGAAAGCAAAGCTGCCATGTGGCATTGCTTTTCACTTATGTTGAAAGTAGCTATACGGAGTGTTCAGTAAGGTACATTATGGTAGAAGAAACTGCACCGCTGGCCTCTTCACAACATAAGCGTAAAAGTCTAAACTATTATACAAATTCAAAATTGTTTTGTCAGTCTAATGTCAGAAGGCTATCCCAACCTATTTTTGAAGTAGTAGTCTCCACTCTGGCAACAGACCAATAGCTGTAGTCTTTTTATATTCTGGTCAGGAATAGAAGGCTTGTCGTATTGGCACTTTGAGACTATGTTTGTAATAAGGGAAAAGGGGTCAGAAGAGCGCCCCCCCCCAATTCACAATGAAGCAGAAATTCCACTGCTCCATGTTAGTCACACTGGTGTGAATGATCAGCAATTAAAAAGCAAAATGCAAAGTTTGGAAGATTTTAAGAAGGCAGGGTTGGAATTGAAAAGCAAATGTGTAGTTCTTTGCTTGGAGTTTGTAAGGGGCAGAGTAAGATGCAAGTCTGCTGCTAACATGACACTCTACTTCCAGTTACTCACATAACTCACAGGGGATTCTAGTTCAGCTATTGCCTCACATCAGTGTACAAACTCTTGGCTCAATTACTGAGAGGCTTCATAAGGCCTCAGCTCAGTACTAATCCATTTTTTTTTAAAGAAAAACACCCTGCTACTTAGAATCTTCTGGTCTGGCTATGCAGAACATGGTAGTCAGAGTCACACATTTTCCATCACCACTGTACACACTGCCTTTAAAACTTATACATACTCCCTGTAGGAATGTTCCACATACCTTACATTCATGTGTATGCACAGCTCCTCTGCCCAAGTCTCTTTGGTACTCCAGCTGCCTTCTCAGCCCCAGCCTTGCAAAGCAAAAAAGCCCCTCTTTGGGATGGGGAGTACTGATCTGAAATTGAAAGTCATTTTCCCCTACAGTTGACGAACTTTCAGATTGCTACCAAGCCTCCCTTTATATCTTGAGGCTTCCTATTTAAAAAGCATACAGTAATGCATACTTAACAAAAGTAAACAGGGTTTGATATTTAGATTATTATACCCTATACATTAAAAATAAGTTCTTATTTATAAAAAGCTGTTTTCTGAAATCTAAACTCAGGTCACAACTGCATGTACTGCAGACTTGCCTTTTGAGACCCTGCCTATTTCTCTGTGACAAAGCAGGAGCAGGAGCAAATAATAATACTTCATTATTAAAGAAATTTAAATGCTGCTGGTTGAGGCAAAGTGCACCTTACGCAGCATACATTGCCTTGCAGACCAATTCTCTCTTCCACTTCTGTATTAATGTTGCAAAGGTCTACAGCCCGAGCTGGGGAAGTGTGGCAACTTAGTTACCTCCCCCATGGCTCTCTTGCTGTGCATTCATACCAGTTTGCTGAGCTGTGGCAGCTGGAAAGTTCAAGATGGGAGGTGGTGTTCATGACTGAAACAATGGACTTATTGGCAGTGGACTACTAACCTCCTTGCCCCTCTGTTCAGGGGTAAAACCCCACTAAGGCCTACCAGGCACAAATGGCTGCTCTACATTTGGCAACATGCAAATATCATTTTCCCAAAGATGGTCCAGAGGAGTTTTGTGAAGTCACATCTCAACTGGATGTTGGGTGACCGTTTCAATTTTTCCTGATAATCTGAATATTTAACATTTTTGACAGCCTAAGGGCCTTAAGCTTAGGCTATGAACTGCTGAATGAATTATACATTTAAAGAGCAACCTAGAATCAGAAATTACAGATGAAGACCAACACTTTTTCAAAGACAGGATGCGCTTGTTAAGTTACCACTGGAGAAAAGCTGCAGCATATACTCCTTTAGAGAAAAGGGAAAGAAATCTGTTATCAAATTCATATTTAAAGTTTTACAACAGCAATTATCAGTGCAAGGACACAGAACACATTAAAAAGTTACATCAGATGACATGGATTTTCAAGATCCAAGGTAAAATCCCAGAATGAGAATGCATCACAGGAACTTCTCATGCATTTTAGAGAACATTTCCTTAGCTTGCCCATGGTCCTAAGGCAAAAGCCCACTTCTGCATCAGTAGTTCAAATAGCGATCCATGGGTTTATATGGCCCAGTTATAGTACTCCAATACAGGGTGCCTGCTGCAGCTGTTTTGCTGTCCTAAACTGAACAGGAGCATGTAGCTGCTGCAGAACTATTCAATTGTCTTGGGAATGCCCGCCAATATACCAACCCCAGTGAAGAGGATTCGAAGCAAGTGGACATTCATTGTCACAACTTCGGTGCAATAGCGAAGCTCTGAAAAACAAACAAGATGCATTTCAAAAGTCTGCAGGCACAGTGTGAAGATCACTCTCTGCTAAGGGGGGCTTCCTGAGTCAAGACGTTAAAGAGGAAGGTCAACCTGCTCCAGAGCGTTAAAATGAAAATAAAAGAAGGCAGAATGTTCAGCAATGGGGCTTCATCTTAGGTGGGGGAAGATACACAGAAGTAGCTGCAAGATGATCTATGCCGTGTCATGGACAACCCAGGTGGGCAAGTGGTGTCAGTAAGGTTGTGGCTGACACCAACAACATAGGCAGTGGCCGTTCAGAAAAAAGGGATAAAAACAAAACAATGGCTCTTTGCTTGGGAGGAGAGTTGCAGTATAAGATGCAGACTTTGAAAGGAGCATCCTCTATATATGCAAATGAAGCAGGATGGTAACCTCTTTCCATTTCAGCAGAAGGAAAATGGAAACAGCAGGTGTGTAATTCTTCACCAAGGGGCCACATAACTCATGGACAAGCAGAGCAGTTCACTTGCATGTTAATTTCATAATATTACAATTTGGAAAAAGTAGTCAAATATAGCCATCAATATAGCATTTTTAAAGGGAGGTATTGTGGGCTGGAATGTCTCCAGCACTCCATCGCCATAGGAATTTACAAGCCCAGCACATACAGCTTCCCAACAGCAACTTATGGGAAGTTAATGCACAAACGTTGGGTCTCCAAAGCTTCTCCCAACTGTGACTGGCCACCTGACCTTCTGTCATAGGCTCCCACTGGGTGGAGCCAGAATTCAGGGAATGGGGCCTTAGCTGCTAAGAGTTCTGCCACGTGATTAACAGCTGGCCTTTTAAGAATGAATATTTCTGGGAAAGTTCATCATTCACTGGTAGAGCACATACTCTGGGTGGTCTCAAGGGCAAGTCTTGGCCTCTCCAGGTAGCCTGAGAAAGCCTCTTGTTCGGAAGAATGGCTGCTCCTCAGCACTGAGTTAGATGGCCTGACCTGGGGTGGAGCAGTGCTAGAGGCAGGGAGCTGGAGAGGGGCACAGGCCATTAGGAAAAGATGCTGGCAGTAGCAGTTCAAGGGTCAGGACTGCAATAAAGCTCATCCTCCCTAAAATCAAATAGCCAGCCTTTACTACCTCCAAGCAAGGAGCCCCTCTAGTGCCTTTCCCCAACACCTCAGCCCATCTTCATGCCCTTTTCGACAGAAGCTGCCATACCTGGGTGTGCTAGTGTGCGCTGTTGTCAAGGCAAGGCTTGCTGTGTCTGTACTGCATGATGTACACCGTAGATTGATGCCACCAGTACAGCATCACCACTGCAAGGATGTGCCATACTTGGTGACTAGAGCCGAGGTAGTTTAACTGCCCTGTTAGAGAGGAGAAGGCACATTCATGTCACATTATTCCTCAGGAATAGAGATGGCTTGCATGCACCTGGGCACCCATTCAGGTTCATTCCTGTCTGGCTCAAATTGAATTCTTTCCCCAACAGATGTTGCAAAGGTCCCACAGATAACTAGAAGGGATGATCATGCTTTTCCTGTGAGCTCCCAAGGGCATCTGGCTTGCTACTGCTGAAACTTGGTAATGGGCTTGTTTGGTATGATCCAGCAACCCACTTTTTAGATATTTTAGAAAGAGCTGGGCGGGCAGGGTGAAGAGCGAAGATAGCACAGGCCATTCTCCTTTACCATGCCATGCAAGACAAAATAGGTGGTGTGCAGGACAGCAAGTGCTTTCCCAAGGGAAAAAAAGGGTCCTAAACATGCAGGTTTTTTGAAATTGTTATGCTCAGCCTTGCCTTAATGTAAAGTTAAACATTTCTGCAGATCCAAAATATTGAAGCCTTGGCTAACCAGTGTTATGTGGGGGCAGGTCCTGTTGTCAAAGTGCAGCAGCTACTAACCCTGAATATTGACCCAGAGAGGTGTCTAATTTTATTTGTCCTTTTCCCAACACCTGTCAAAAGATTTTTTTTTTTTTGCTTGCAGAAAAGGAATTCTGAGCTTTACATGGACAGATGCTCCAAATTTTCTTTTTTGCCCCAATACTCCTCAGGGTCCTGTACACATCTAGATATGCAGGAAAGTACAAAAGCGTATCCCCACACATTCTTGGGGAAAGGAAGTTTTGACAAGGCAATTTTGTGATAGGCATATACAAGTGAGTCGTACATTCCTCCTTTCTTCCTAAAAAAGGAGTGTGATGCACTTTTCTGGGCTGCTAGAATCTAAATGCAAAAAGTGCACCGCCCTGAGTGCTGTCGAACAAAACAATACAGTGGTATCAATCTCAACACCCTTTTTAATGAGCGAGAAGCATTCACCCCTTTTCTTTCCCTTGGCAGTTCACCTCTTGATGGCAGTCCAGAGAAGGCAAAGGGGTCAGAAGATCTGTTTGGAGTACATCGCGGTCAACATGTGAGATTAGCACCTGCTGCATTTGATAGCAGGATACCCCCTTCTCCCCAGATTTTGCCCAGGAGAGGCTTCCCTTCAAAATCCAGTTCCTCTGTAGTTGCACAACTCTGAGTACAAAGTAACAATTAAGATATTGTCTCAATTTGGGGCATATTAAAAAGGAGTGACCTATCAGTGACAGCTCTTCCACTGTGTTGCCTTGGAACTGTCAAATCTGAGATTATAAAATTCATGCTCCCTGCCACCTCAACTTACAAAGTGGAAAATGTGACGAGTCAAAAAAATGGCTCATGATTGCAGCGGGGAGGGAGAGAGGAAGAAGGCAGTCCTGCTGCAGTGACACCAGCTAGAGAGCAGAGGAGGGTGGTGGGGGCACATGAGCTACAGTGACCTCTTGGGTACACAGGCAGTTGGTTGCCCAACATGGAACCCATCTTGTGGCTTATTACCAAGGATCCATGGATTAGCATGACATGGAAACCTACCCATAGACTTTTTGATGTCCAAACAACAGCAGGATTTCGTAATAGCAGTGTCAAAGATTCCCAAGTTTCTGGAGGTAAATAAGGTTTCAGCCCCATGGTTCCTGAGAAATTACCCTAAGAGTCACGCAATTGCCCCAGCTGAAGTTGGCGAAATCTGGTTTGAGGGGGGAGATGAACCCTTAGATCCTCCCCACAGCCCAAGAAAGCATCCATGGAAGATCCTTTTTGATGCCAGAACTCTCGATAGGGAAAAAGAGGGAGGTGTGGTGGTGGGTGTTGCAGGAGAGTTTGTGGATATGAAAAACACACAGTCCTTGCAGTTCTGAAACACACCTCTGACCTGGGTACTGATGTATACCAACTATGGAGGACCCACAGTTCAGTTCCCTTCCATGGTTAACGACGGGGCAGGATTTATATAGCTGTATTTTTAAAAGGCCCCTGGAAAGGGAGCTGGACACCAAAGTGCTGCTTCTCTCTCCCTTGCACCTTGCTGGGCCTCCATCAGCACGGCCTTGAAATAATGGGCGGTGCCTTCTCTGCCTCGCCTGCAGATGAGCCGTTAGAATACACACTACAGTTTGGGGCGAACGGCCGGCAGATTCCTAACTGCTCCTAATCTTTCTTCTTATATCAGTGCCCAGCATCTGGGAGAACTTCACTGCATGCTGTCAGCCTAGCAAATGAATCTACCTGGGAAATATCTTTCTGGGACTTTGGAAATGTAAAAGAGAAATGCTATGCCAGCTATCAAGTACATCACAATCACACGGGGAGCAAATTCCTGAAAGAAAGAAAGAAAAAAGCAGGATTAGCATTAGGTGTTGAGGTCAGCAAGGTCCAGATGGATAAAGATTTGAAAAAGGCAAAGAATCCTCTTTTTTGAGGATGTCCAAATGTTAAGTAGGTCCTGAAACCTACTTTAGGCTGCACACTAGGACTGCTCAGTTTGATTGCCTACATGCATTTATTTATGTTGATTTCATTAGCAAAGAAGCATACATAACATGAAATACTATTAATATTACAGCCTTTTCTCCACAATGAAACCATCTCCCCAGAAAGGCGGGGTGCCTTGTTCGTAAGGAATGAAATCAAACTGAGTGTGCATTTTGGTAGCAGAGCTTGCTCAAGGCCCATGACCAACTGCCTCCTCTCTTCCCCCTCATCATGCCTGGTGAGTAATCGCATGAGCAGCGTTGCATCAGAGCTAGCACTAAGATGACTGGGAAGTCACCTCTCTTGTTTCCCAGAAATAACCATTTGGGCACAGCCTCAGAACTGAAGAGGCCATAAGCATGTAAGTCCACCTCAGAACTGATCGTTTCTTCTGCTTCGCATATGAAACAAGGCTGATTCGCAGACAATGTTCATTTTGTAAAAGTAATGGGGATAAAAAGAAGGGTGCAGTCCCTAAGCCACCTTGTCCTGAAGCGAGCTGAAAGAGCAAAGAGGAGTCGGATTGGGGTGCGCGTCTGGCAGCGCCTTAGCTTACCTGCACAATAGATGCACTGACACCTCCGTTGAGCCAAACCCAGTGCATGGTAGGGATGATTCCATAACCAGACACGGAGCAGAAGATGACGGAGCGCAGCCGGTGCCACTGCTGGGTGAGGTAACTGGGGTGGATCTGAGCAAAGAACACTGCCAGGATCAGAGCAAGCACAGTGATCAAGTAGACTTGACGCCAGTACTGGAAAAGGGAAAAAAAGCAGGCAGCCCCTGAGTGATAACCAAAACAAAACAAAGAAACTCTGGGTCAAGACATGACAGACGCAAGTCAAAGGGAATTTTGTAAATTCTGGAATGTGCTGTTAAGGAAGACTTCCCGGACAAGAGAGATGAGCCACAGAAACCAGGAAGGTAGTGCCATGTTCTCTCTCGTGTACAAATAAAAGCATTCTACATCTAAGTGGCAGAACTGTTTCTACAAACCTGCATTCTAATTTTGAAGATTTATTTCCACACACTGTTTTTTGGTTTGCTGTTGCATATTTTAAGTCCCCCACAAATGCAACTCTTCCTCAAAACAAGTACTAATATTTGTCCCACAAATCAATCTCTTCATTCTTCATTATGAATTGGATTCACAACTCAAATTCAGCACTCACAGTCAATCAGTTATATGGAATAAATTATATAGTACACATACAGAAGTTCTGAAATGTTTTCATATGGAATACTTATTAGTCCAGCCTTTTCACTGCGAGAAGGGCACATTTCCGGCAGAGCAGAGCTGACCGGCAATTGCAACCCCTTTTACAGGCAGCATTAGAATTCTGCCACTACCAGCGCTTGCCACAAATCATTACACATGCCTATAATTTTAAACAACAGAGGGTTCAATTCTACACAAGTTTTGACAAGGAAAAAGCCTACAATTCCCAGCCAGCCCCAACTGGGTGAGACATACTGGAAGGCACCTTTCGCTCTACATTTGCGTGGGGGTCATACTTCAACCCTGTTTTAAATGACCAACTCCTTTATTATTTAATTACTTATTTATTAAACCTGTATAAAAGCCACCCATTAGCAAGGCAATCAAGCAGCTGAATCGGATCTGAACCAGCACCCTGTTTTTTGCAGCAGCCAAACAGATGCTTGGAGGAGATCCACAAGGAGGATATGAAGGTGCAACAGCACCTTCCTGGTCAGGATCCAAATGGACTTTGGCATACTGCTTCCAGTACTGGAGTTATATATAGTCATCATAATGGGTATGAGCCACTGATGATTTTACTGTCCGTGAATCTGAAGTATTCAAGGAACAGCTGTTATGAAGTCTTGCTGTACCTCTCAGAGAATTTTTTAAAAGCAATTACACTGACAGATGCCTCTGAGGGCACAATCCTAAGCACACTGTTGTAACTCGTATCCATGCAACAAAATGCTGGCGGTGGGGAATATGGGGAGTTGTAGGGCTTTTTCTGCCTAGCAGGCATAGGCTCATGCCCTGAATAATAATAAAAAACCACACTAGTTCTGGTGGTTAGGAAAGGTTATGTTTAATATTTGGTTTTGGAAATAGGCTAAAGGATGCATGTACAGCATTTTCCTCGTGTATACCAATTTCCCCCAGTTTTCTCGTGCGACCAACTCCTGATCTTTGTGCAATTAGGATGACACTATTCAGGTGAACACACTACAAGCCTCCCTGTAACAAGGCAGGGTTCCTGACCAAAGAAAGTCATGCAACTTTGTTTAGCTGAAGGCACTGAAAATCCCTCTTTGGACCACTGTGCTGAGCACACAGTGAAGATCAGAAATGGGACTGGCGCATGTGGGGAACTTGCATGAAAGCTCCCTTCCCACTTTAAGACCACATGGGATCATCTGAACACCCTAATAGTGACAATACTGTGGAAAATCCAAGTTTAAGGAAATACACGTGTATCTTTAGCTGATCTCTGTTGTCCTCTGCTAAGCAAACCCTTGACTGAGTTAGCCTATTTGGCTTTCTTTTGGCTTATATGTAACCTGCCTTCCTTGGACTTAATAAAAGCAGAACTTAATACATGACACTTGTCCAGGACACAATTCTATGTTTCAGCTGGAACATCGGCTTGCACTTTTTCATATTTTAAAGAAGAGAGATGTCCTTCTGAATCAGCTTATTTTTAATGAACACAGGATTAGCGGAATTGTGAATGAAAGAACAATAACGTGTATTCTAAAAATTATTTTTTCCACTCTGAATAAAAATACCAGTCTTTCTCCTTTCAGGGTAAAATATCTTTTTTGAAGCAATGCCAGTTTCCTACCTGCATACTTAATTCTCCCCCTCAGCCAAGTTATGCAGCTGCAGTACAACCTGGAGTCAAAGAACTTCAAAGGAAAAGCAACATCAGTGAAAGCAATGCTATAAAAATCAGCAAAAATGCTGGCTTACATTATTGCAATAGAATGCGTAAAAGACTCCAGACACATAACAGCCCAGGATACCAATGGAAATTCCTGCATAATCCAACGCCATCCACCGTCGACTGGTCTTCTCAGAGCGATGACAACAGAAGAGGTGATACCCTACTGAGCAAAGCATACAGACCTATAAAACATTCAAAAAATGCACATTAATTTCCTGGGGGTCTATTTTCACGTGACCAAATAATTAGATGCTACTTCAAAAAGTTAGATTAAATATATATTTGGTGAGAGTGATCTACCAACAGAATGCTGTCTGATATGTGTTCAATTTGCTCTGAATCGATGGGACCATATCACACTCTGCTTGGGATATTTTCAACTGTGGCTTCAAGCTGAAGAATTCACTGAAATTTCTTAGGGGTAATAGCCCACTTGACAAGGCAAGGGTGATGCAATGTGGAACTCTGGTTCCTTCTTTGGGATCAATGAGAAGTAACCCAAGAAGCCGGTGCCTCTTCAGCTGGACCACAAAAACCTACTTCAGAAACCAGGCAAAACTATGAGAGCCAATATGGTGGCTGTAGTACCCCTGAGCCGTGAAGCTCAGTGGGTTATTTTCAGCCAGTCACTCTCGGCCTGACCTACTTCACAGGGTCCTTGCTGTGAGAATAAAATGGAGCTATGTAAACCAACTTGGGTTGCTCACAAAATGCAGGATATAAATGCCATGTAATAATAATAATGAGCTCTCCTTCCCTGTATTCTCTACTCCACTATTAAGAATGAAACTAACAATAACAACAGTATGGAAACAAAGACAGTCTCAGAAGATAAAACATTTTTCTTTTCTTTTAAAAAGGATGATGGATCATTACATAGAAGTAAACAACCCAGGAAGTCAAATCCTTCCTAGAAGGAAAGATGTTTTAACCTGGTGGCAAGCCCAAACAAAGGGTACCAAATGGCTTTAATGGGGTAGTTTTTCATAATCCAGACTTTAACATCGTTTGTACTTTCCAGAGTACACTGAAACAAACCATATAGATTACTGCTGTGCTTTTTAAAATTGTATGAAGACTTTTTTTGACTGTAGCTCAGAGAATTTTAAAAGAGAAAATGTGCTACAAACATTTAAGCACATACATTTATTAATTTGCTTTAAATATTATACTGAAATTTTAGGAGGGTTTCACTTTTGTATTTTATTGTATAGTATGAATAAACTGTCCAGAGAGCTTTGACTATTGTGTGGCATAAACATAAAATAATATGAATAAAGAATAAAGCACAAGCCTGGGAGCACTAAAAGCAGCTTCTCTCCAGTTCTGGGGCAGAGACTAGTCCAAACACTGGTACCAAACTGCTGGAGGTAAGCTAGGGTTGGCAGAAGGATGCTGTGCGCCTCGTACTGGAACAGAATGCAGACCACTTTCCCTGTCCCCCAGCCCCACTGGTTGGGTTGCAGTTTACAAAGCAGCTTACCTGAAAGCAGAAGAGACAAACAGAACAGATGACAAAATCTTCCCTAGAGGCACTCGCTGAAGGCAACACAGAAGTCATGTCATATATGCCCAAAGTGAAGAAAAGGAAGAAGCCCAGTAAGTGACTCCAGATGTTGACTGTTTCATTGGATAAAATAAATAGGCTAGAAAATAAAGGAAACAAGCATCATTGCCTTGTTTGCAAATTAGGCATTTTAAACAGGCACTCCAATCCTGCCACTGCATTCTTGCTTACCGCTATCCAAGCTAGTCAGGATGCTGTTCTAACTTGCTTGTGTGAAGGCACATGTCTGCACCCATGCAGAGACTTCATCTCTAGACCTCAGCACCAGAGGAGTTCATGAGTTTCAACAGAGGGCGGAAAACTTTCTGAGGCCTTGCAAGGGAGTATGTTGAATGTGCTATTTGTATCCAAGCTGTGTGCAAGTGAACACATTTATGCCTTCTGGCTTATTTATTATTTAATTTATTTATTTAGAAAATTTCTATGCCGCCCCATTCACCGAAGCCTCGGGGCGGCTCACAACATAAATAACTTCAATTAAAATAATATAAATTAACAGTATAAAATAAGTCACCCTGGCCAAAGAATAAAATAAATAAATACTATTAACAGTTAAAATGACATTTGAATAAAAAGGTCTTCGCCTGGCACCGAAAAACGACGATGGCGCCAGGCGGACCTCTCTGGGGAGCGCATTCCATAGATTGGGCGCCACCGCAGAGAAAGCCCTCCTCCGAGTACTCACCCTCCTAGGGGGGGAGTTAACCACTGTCAGTTTTTTCTCTTCACTGATCACCAGTGTTTTTGGAGACCATCCTTACAGAGGCTCCATATGGGATTCCAGTTGGAACACTGAACAGAATCTCAGGTTTTCTAGATCACATGGTCTGCATTTACTGCCGCCTTCCCTGATAGAGTGCCCTCCAGATGTGCAGACTGCAATCCCTATCATGCCAGTCAGCTGATCTAAGGTCTTGCATGGATGAGCATCATAGAGCTAATTGGATGGGTGAGCTGGGTTGTTTAAATGCCTTGCATTAGCATTAGAGGCTCTCAGGTTTCTGCTTTATTCTTTATTTTTTAACAGGCTCTGCCCTTTGAAATTTGATCAGCAGTAGATACAAAATACACAACAGGAATTACTGTTTCTCATAAAGAAATACAATGCACCTTGCTTTGTGAGCTGCTTGGACTGTAGTTTATGAGGAAGCATAACAGTGATGTTATAAAGCAAATAAGTTTTCAGTCTAAGTGTTTATTACTTCCTTGAAGAATAGCCTTAGTTTAGATTAGTGAATTTTACTTTGAACCATTTGGATCGACTTCAAACCTTTTTAAACATAGCCTGGAAGGGAGGTATGCTCTGTAGCCATCTGTGATGTATGGATTGTCCTTTAGGAATACTGGAATTTGTTCATAGGTATACAAGCGAATTCCTCGAGGTACAAGAATAGGCCAGTATTGATAGCTTCCCAGCTCAATATAATGAGCACTCTTCAGGAGTTTCTGGTGCATTTTAGAAGTGTTTCTGTCATCAACCAGCGCAGCAAAGGTAAGAAGAGTCGTATTCAAGGCATCTGGCCTCTGGCACAGTTTATCTGTAAACAGACCAAGACAAGCAATACAGTGGCTTAACATGTCATACAGTACTTAACATCCAGCTAATACTTCACTTATCTGTCAAAAAGGAGTTCTCTGTGAAATGTACAACAAATATTGCACAACTAGAAAAACAGAAAAAGGATACCTTATCAGTTCGAGATCCTTAAAAGGCTAATGATTAGCAGCTCTTGGGAGGGAAAAACCTCAAACAAGTCACCTCTGTGCAGCTAAAAAACCAAACAAACACACATACATTAGATAAGACTGAGTAACTGGAAGTGCTTATTTAGAATGGGGAGGGTGACCTACCCTACAACCTAGATGTAGCTTTGCCAAGGAAGTATGCTAGCTGAATAAACTAGCCTTAAAGGCAGCACTAATAGTGCACACAACTCATTTCGAACATTTTTTTTAAAGTCCTCAATGTAACTGTTCAGAATTGTTATCATCTTGATTGAACAAGGAAGTTGAATCCCAGATCAGAAAAAGGTCTCTTAGGAGAAAAGCAACAACCAGGTCTATACTTCTTCTATTTACCTTTAGGAGTACACTGCCCCTCTGCAGCTGACAAACAAGATAAGGTAAGGTGTGTGCATATGTGTTCGCAGAGAGGAGTAACTTATTAATATGTTTCGGTAAATCGACAAGAAGTCTTGTGACATCTTAAAATAACCCATTTAGGGCAGCAATCCAACAAATGGTTAGTTTAAAAAGGGCCTAAGACTGTCTGGAGCACGCTGAGAGCTCTGACAGGCACAGGTCTGCTCCCTTAATGAAGCGAGTTAATGCTTAATATAGCCTTCCTCGAGCTGGTGCCCTCCAGATGCGTCGGATTACAACTCCCAGCATCCCTGGCTGGGGCATGCTGGCAACTGTGGGCCTTTTTCCTGCGTAAAAAGACATGAGGTTGTGCCTTTAGCCTTCAAGGGCAGGATCCTCAGAAGCTGATGCCAGAATAAAAGCTTTCGTCCTTAACGCGTGTGCATGTGCGTGTGTGCATAGGTGTGGGGGCGGGGGGGAGAACGGGCTCAAGGGCTGGCCGGGAGGAGCTGACAGCATCGCTCCGCCGACAACACCGCTCCGGCTCCGCCTTACCCCAGTCGCCGCCGCTGCCGCCGATGGAGCCGCCGCAGCCCTCCCCGCACCATGGCGAGGAAGGGACGGGGCCCGCGCGCGCGGCGCCTCCGCCCGCCCCGCCGAGCCGAGCCGCCCGC